CCCCCCCCCCCCCCCCTTCCATAAGGACATAATCAAGCTGCTGTGATTCATATATACATGATTACTTATAGATTATAAAGCATTCAAATGTACTGTAAACAATGTATTATATACAGTATATATTATGTAAGTAGAATAGTGACAGAGATGCATTATAAATAAATATGAGATTTGAATAGGTATCAGTTTTTAACTGATTGCAATGGTTTATTTCTAAACTAAGACAATTAGAGTAACCAATACTAGTAATAATAATTAATTAGTAATAACAAATAATAATAAAAAAAAACCCCAGCAATCTATTTATAAATGTTTTCACCTACTTTTTGTAAATGTTTTCACCCCAGAGTTACACAACGTTCACCCAAGATTCCCACATTCTCCAATTAAATCCAACTGTAAATGTGTGAATCTTGGGTGAGAGTTGTCAATCTTGGGTGAAAAATATATAAATAGACCCCTAAGATTGCTCAAAAATGTTCTAAAATCACTGACGGCCTAATCTTGCAAGTAAAGGGGACATGTGCTTAGAAAAAGGCTGTTGCAGCCATGGGGTTGTGTGCGTAATGTCAGTGATTTTGCACGTGCATACCCCAAGTCAAGTATGAACATGCTTTGCACGTTCATGCATGCAAGCATTTGGATAAGGCATCTCTGCTTCATTTGACTGAGATTGTTGGCCTTGCGACTGTACTTGTGCCCCTAATAATCAGGTCTCTAGAGTGGTAAAAGGTTTCTATTTGAGTATGATCTTCAATATAATGTCATGGCTGATTCAGAGTATGCTGCACTTTTTTAGCACATGACGTAATTATGAGTGAACTGAACAGTACTATTGTCCTTAGTTTTTTGAGATACATAAGCACATAGGGGTGGAAAGGTCCTCCTGCTACCTCCTTCAAAATCTTCTTTCTAGCTTTGTACCTGTACCTGTACTCAATATTACAAAAGTCCCAAACCCCAGGCCACAACCCCCTAAGAAAAGAAAATGGCAGTCCTGCCTGTAGATTGGTCCAAATTTCTGGTAATTTTCCACCATGAGATGATGAATGTTGTCATATCCGTTCTTTCTATTGAAGTGGAATAAGCCGATCCATCCATTCCTCCATTCACCAGGCAGTTGGTCATAGGGCAGGGGACTTGTTCTGCTTTGGCTATGGACCATCGAAGGGCTCTCGCTCACCACTGAGTGAAAGTTCAGTAGCCCAGAGGAAGAGGGAAGAATACACAGTCTTCGAGAGAGCAACATGGTGTCTGTCGGTCAGAGGGCACAGGGGCCTCTCTTATAGAGCTGCAGAAAACATGAAGGACACAAGGAGGAGAGTAAGGGACATGGCCATGAGCATAGGAAGATTTCAGGGCTACATCTGTACACTGAAAAGAGAGAAATACATTTCAGCTTTTCATTTGCTTATTTTTTTTTTTACTTTTCACTTGAAATTAATCCTAAAGCCTCTGTCAGCTTACAACTGCTCTGTGCTAGGTAAAAGCTTTTAAAAAGCAGTAGACACTGAAGACAGTAACTCCCATGCCTTCCTTACATCCCGTCTGTATGATTAGGTAGATATGAAACATCAGGAGCTGTTCTCTAAGAAAAAACTATTTCCTTTGCAGATAACGTTTTCACGGAAAAAGCCAACTTCAGACAAAACTTTCATTTTCATTGTGGAAATAAGAAGGCTTAGAACTTCAGTCGGGTTTTAAAAGCAACGTGAGTGCCTATTGAACGGATTTTCCCTCACTTCTTGATTTGTCTGACACCTATCACCTTGACAAGAAGGTAGAGCAAAACTCCCTCGCAAGGCACAAACAACAATAAAATCATCACAACCCCTCTGAATTCTTTAATTGCCATCTGGGTACCCTGTGGGAAGATTTCCCTTCATCCCTTCTTCTGTCTGACAGGAAGTATAGTAGATTCTTCCTCACTTCCTGTTTTGTCACATGAAATCTCCCAAATGCTCACTCAGACACTAATAGAAAGTTGACAGAGGTTTTAAAACTTCCACACCTGGCCCAAAACTAAAATAGAAAACATTTTGGCAGCAGTTGGGCTTTATGGTTTGTTTACAGCATGAGGTGTGCACGTTTTCGTGTGTTAAAGGAGAACTATGGGGTCAGGGCTTTACCCCATAGTTCTCCTTAGGGTAACGGGAGGACACAAAACGTTAGGGCAACCCAGTAATTTTGAAAAGGAATTTAATACATGAAAAATTAAACCTGCACTATTTGTAATACCGCAGTGCACTGCATCACACAGAGCTTTCGTATCTGTACTTAGTGAGACGCTATAACACATTTGCATTTTTTTTTTACCTTACATCTACATGGGTTGAGCTTAATTAACTTTTGTCTTTTTTCAACTGGACTAACTATGTGCATTGGGATGTCATGAAGACTTCATGGCAATGCACCACAATGCACATGTACCTCATGTTACGGTAACATAGATTATCACAAGCTGTGGTGTTAACAAGCCCCTAGTTGTAAAGTAGCCTCCGTTCCAAGCTCACTCCCATGATGGACTACAATCTCATGATTAGTTAGCTGATTTGTATTGAAGTTATAGTTTATCACAGGAGTGAGCTTGGAGCGGCGACTACTTTACAACACACACAGGGACCATGGGAAAAAAAGTAGCCACCCTCCAGAAGGAAGGACAGTGTCAGCACAAATTCAGAGATGATTTGAAGATCTACAGTCGAGTGATACACAAATAAGATACATTTCTGTTAATAGTTAAGGTACCTGCATGCATTTTGCAGTTTGAACTCCTAATTTTAGTGTCACTTTAAGGGTAATTTACTAAAGGAGTCATAGCAACAATTCTATATAGGCGATTTAAATACCTATTTTTTTAAGTGTTATATGACCTGATAGGCTGTTTGAAGGGCACACAGTGTTTTGAGATGCTTGTTTTTTGTGTTCATCCACTCGCCACTAAAACTTTCCTTATTTATAACTCAACAAAAGCAACAGATACTGGTGATTGCAATGCCACATCGGCTTCCTAACGTGTCAACTGAACTATCGATAAGTGGATATATCTTCCCAACATCCCCAGTAGAATGATTCTTACAAATATTTTATATCTACCATTCATTTCCTCTTGATCATAAGGGAGAGTATGGTAGCTATGTTTTTTACTTATGCCCTTTGCCTCTCATAAGTTCTGATGAAATGTCAATAACAGTGGCTAATAATAATAAACATCCTTTAGCTAATGGCAAACGAACACTTTTTTTTTTTGTATACTACATTACAGGTCATATTCATTGATATAAAATTGCTTCATTCTTGGAATCTGTTTTCTCACTTAAATAAATAAACACTCCAGAGTCAAGGTCTGGAGCCAAAGGCTTAAAGCTTCCTAACACTGGTTATTTTCTCATATACGTACATGATAAGTAGATGATTTACATTTCCCTATAAGGAAGTATTGTAGGGAATTACATCATTTAAATAACTCTTACAGTTGAAGGGATTTGCATTTCTTGGTCAATTTATTTATGAATAGATGGCAGAATGCCAATTAACACAGAATTAACATTTTTGTAAGAGCATAAGTGCCTTTGTATGTTGTTTGTAGTAGGAGCAACATTCCTTTTAGGGCCTCATAATTAAAGAACTTTCAGTTTAGCTCATCAACAGCCATTCAAGTTAAAAATTTACAATCAGAAAGGTTTATTTTCTCTAGAACTCGTAGAGAGAGATTTAGGGACACAGGATACCCAAAAAACAGCAAAAATATTCCAGGCCTTCAAGGAGCAGAAAACTGATAATGGCCATTTAGAAGCAGCCTTCTACTACCAGCAAAGTTGATGGTGCTCTAATATTTTGAGTAGCAGTCTCCCAATAAAAGATTGGTTCTTTGATTTTAAATAGCAGCATAGTCATCGGTAGCTTGAAAAGTTGAGCAATTGAAATCCCCATCCAATCTCCTCTGGCAGCAGTTTCTCCCAAGTACTCCAGCACACCAAACGCAGACTCAGAAGATGCTCCTTCTGGGTATCCAACCTCCTGTTTCATAGGCCTCTGTCTGTGCTTTGAATTTTTTAGGTACCTTAGGCCTTCACCACATACACATCTAAATTCCTTAGTCCCAGGTTCAGGCCTCCAAGAGAACTAAGCCCTCTTCTTTCTGGTTTTCTTCCCCACACAGAGACCTGAAATCCAAAAGACTCGACCCTGCCACACAGATATCCTCACCAGGCCAAGCCTAGGAGGCAAGAAACCTTATGGAAGGTCACACCAAATTTTTATCCACTTCCTCACCCGGCATTACTGGAGTAAAGTAGGGATGCACCGATACCGATACTAGTATCGGTGCCGATACGAGTATTTGGGTGAGTACAAGTACTCGCCCAAATGCTCCCATACTTACCTCCGATACCGGAACATCCAGTCAGAGGCATATCTCCTCTGACCAGCAGTGCCAATGGAGCATTAGACATGTGCGATTCGTTTCGTTACGAATCGAAATTCGTACGAATTTTCCTGAAATTAGCATGGAGCCGGCTTCCTTTCCCAGCTTCCTGATTGGCTAGGAAGCCGGCTTCACTTGTTGCTAGGCAGCCTGGCTTCCTGACCAATCAGGAAGCCGGGGAGGCACCTCATGATGTGCCACCCCACTTCCTGATTGGTCAGGAAGCCAGGCAGCCTCGGCAAGTGAAGCCGGTGTTCTTTCGCTAGAACACGGGCTTCACAGGCAATCAGGAGGCTCGACAACATGTCATGATCCGCCGCCCGACTTGCTGATAATCGAGGCGCACGGCACCAGTACTCGGTACTTGGTATCGGGGAGTACCCAAAAAAAATATTGGTACTCGTACTCAATACCGAAAAAACGATATTGGTGCATCCCTAGAGTAAAGCTCTCAGTAATTAGCCAATGCAGAATAAATATTCATAACCCAATACTGTGTAGCGTTTTACTCTACTCTAATTACTGGACAACACTCAAGAGCAGCAGGCAGTAGCCACCAATGCCCTGGTCTTAGGAGAAACCCAATGAACACAGAATAAACAAAGCTCAGGCTGACTACAGCCTAGCTGCAAACACTAACTTTGGTAAGGAAAACTTATACTTAAGGCATGCTCCCGAAATTTTCTCCCACCCCCTCTTCCTTGCTGAAATGAACTCTGTCCTTGAAGGCCCCAACGAAAAAATACTTGCACTTCTGAGAGTTGGGTATCCTGTTTAACAAGTGCACATGGAAAGGGATAGCTGGATGAAAGCAATTCAGGGTTACAAATGCATGTAAAATTTCACATGAAATCCAAAAAGGTACTAGTTACATACCACACATAACACATAACATACCACACATAACACATAACATACCACACATAACACATAATACAGAGTTATGTTACATTACATACCATACATAACACAGAGTTGTGTTACATACCACAAAGAGTAAAGGATAGATGCAGGTACAGACTGCCCGAGGCCCCGCGGCCAGTACCATAGTGTCGGGGCCCCAGTGAGATTTTTTTGCCGCGCCTCGGGAGCCCAGTGAGATTCGGTCCCGGCGCCCACCCCACATTGGAGGTGGCATGGCTCTTTCCACACAGATCTCACAGCCGCCGACCCAGTCTGCCTGTATACAGCGTGGCTCACATTACAAGCAACTATCCATGATGAACCTTCACATGTGCCCTGCTGATCCTCCACATCTTTTCTGCTGATCCTCCAAATCTGCCCCTGCTGAGAACCTCCGCCTGAGACATCAGGCCAGCACCCCCGGAGCAAAGCGGCAGCACAGAGTATGTAGAAATTTCATATACTATTCTGCATTGCTGTATAATGTATTGCTGGGATTTGTAGTCCTCTATAGCCAAACGTGATCAACGTGATGATGATAACGTGACACTGAACATGATCATCTACTAATTAGTGCATTATCAAGTCTTTAAGCACCAGCAAACGTCTCTAGCCAATGGGGGTCAGGGGAAATGGGGGGCGGGGGGGTTATGTTTATAGACTGATGGGTTGGGGCCCTGTTGAGCCGGTGCCATGATTTCTAACAGCGGCCCTGCTGGTACTTCAGGGGCCTGGCCTCCTGTGGCATGGCTTGCTGCACCTACCCGCTGTACCTGCTGAAAGTGAGCATTCACCCATGTGCTGGCACGGAGGGAGCTCCCTTTTAACACGTGTGTGCGGGTGATGTTGTTGTGTATCTGTCATTCTAACTGCCTAGTCTGCGATGCATTGGTTCTGGTCTGAGGTCTGTCATGTACTGGTTCTAGTCTGAAGTCTGCCGTGCATTGGTGCTAGTCTGCGGTCTGCAATGCTTTGGTTCTAGTCTGAGGTTTGCTGTGCATTGATTCTGGTCTGAGGTCTGCCATGCATTTGTTTTGG